GCAAAGGCTAAGAGTTCTGTCAATTAACTTTTTGTCCAGGAATTTCAAACTGTGAGCATTTAATCTATCATTCTTTCTTGGATATTGCTTTATGGGCTAAGACTTTTTATTATTTTAACATTGTTGTTTTTGTCCCACGTAATTGTACACTCACCTGTTTTATATATGAGAATTACATCTTTTTGGTGGTTCTGTATGGCTTGATTCTTTTGTCTTAATTTTCTTAATGATTCTATTTATTTCTGTCATTCTTGTTGAGTACCTTTGGGGTTATTTTCGTTGATTTTTCCATCATTTTCTAATGAAGCAGATGAAGATGTTAAGTAGCATGCTGGCTCTTATCCTAAAGTCTGGGATTTTACAGAGATCAACTTCAGCTCACAGTGATGGATCACCTCACAGAAAACAAGTCATAGAGCTGCTGCTTGGAGAAGCAGAAGTCTTTGAAGATGGCTAATCACATCATGCCACTTACACTGGGTAAAAAGGCTGTGCCACACAGATGCTGCCCCAGGAATTTTCTTGACATTTCCTTGAGTTTTCTAGAGTATAAATAACCCTGTGTTGGTCTATGTGGTTCATGGTACCCACTAGGTTATCTATCAGTTCAACAAGTATAAGTGCCAGGTCTTTTCTTGAGGAGTCTTAAACCAGATGGCCAGCCTTGCTTGCAGGTGTAGCTCTTGTAGGATCTGAGCCACACAAGCACTGGTCCTCTTTGGGGCCCAAAGGATTGTGAGCATCCCAACAGACAGCTCTGGGTTTGTACAGATTCCAAGTCTAGTTTTATACTAACTTGATTCTGTGTAGTTGAAACATATGAAGGCCATACAAGTCATACAACCTTTATTGCTCCATGAAACTCTCTGTTTTATTACCTTGTCATCCCTGTTATATGAATAATGTGTTATAGATGGGTATCTATAAGCAAATTCTAGAGATTCTCATGGTGGTGAATGATCAAGTACCTGATTTGGTTTGATGCTCCCTCACCTTGAGAAGAGTATGAACATATTAAGTGAGTAAATTAGCAGGAATCATTACCAAACAAATGTACACGCTAGTGTCTCAGAGCTTAAACATGAGAATCTGGACTAAGTGTTCTCTTGAAATCATGTCCACATGTAAGAAATTTGGCTGCGTGAGTGCTGTTGGAATTTAATTTGATGTACATCATTGTCATTGTTTTACATGATGATGAAACACAATAGAAATATTCTAGAAATGTGGTTAGGTTAACATAGAAAAACTATGCCTTTACATTTTTAACTATAGTCAACACTGATAGTCTGCTAAAGCGAAGGGAGGGTATCATGGAATCATAATATTCATTTCTTCATTTTAAGGTGAAAGCTGTGGGTCATTTTGTCAGTAGGTCGGCTCTGTTCTTCAGTCACCCACCGCAATGATTCAGTTCTCACCTCTCATCACCTCTGCTCCTTTCTATGGTTTAGATATAGTTTGACTCTGCCTCCCATGGGTTCATGTGTTGGAAACTTTCCTTAGTTGGTGATGCTGGGAGATGGTAGGACCGTCTAAGAGCTGGGCCTTGTGGGAAGTAAGTTGGTTATTGGAGGCACTGTCCTCAGAAGGACTTAACATAGCTTTTGTGAGATGTCAGTTAGTCTCATGAGAGAGGGTTGTTATAAACGAGCAAGACAGTCACTTCTGACTCCCTGGATACCTGTTTTTCTGGGGGATTGCTCTCATACAAGCTTCCACCATTGTGATACCATCCACCATGAAGCCCTCACCAGAGGCTGAGTTGATGGAGTCAGCTTATCTTGGACTCTCAGCCTCCAAAATTGTGAGCTAACTGAACCTTTTTCCATTATAAAATGTACATCCTCAAATATTTTCTTATAGCAATGAAAAACTGATTTATATATTCCTAGTTCCTCTAATTCCTTCATTCACAGTAAAGTTTAAATTGGGGATGTCAGAATGAATGTTAAGTGCTAGGAAACTTGAGAAATCTAGATACTCTGAGTACTAGGAATTTATTGAAAGGTCAGGACCAAGCAGAATAAGAGGCTGAAGCTAAGAAGAATACATGTCAGTAGATTACACAGGATTTTGAAATCTTAGTTTAGGCACAGAAAATTCAGGCTATTCCCAGAGGATTTTGAATCAACAAAGATGCAGCCCTCTGAGTTGTGTTTCTTGGGCCCTCTGAACATCTTCTCTTTGAGTCCTTCCTGCCATCTTCATGGTCTGTGCATTCACCAGGCTGCATATTCTTTTTTTAGAGATCTGGGCATTATTAAATCCCCTCTCCTTGAGATCCAGACATCAGTTCTACACGATTTTTCACTTGAGCTACTAGGTCATTTTGTTTCCTTTTATTGTTTTCCCATAGGTTTTACTATCTGGGATCCACATCAGTTCCTTTTTATTATTTAGCCTTCCAGCATATGCATACCAAATTCCTCATATTCAGGCATTTTTGTTTGCAATTCCTAGTGCGGATTCAGTTTTCCAGACCGGATCCTGACTGAAACAGAGACTTAAGGTATCTGGAAGCTTGATGATGGGCCTTTATGTTGTGCTGAGCATTCCTGGAAAGGGGATATGTTGACTGACATATAATTGAGGGGTCCTCAACATGGTAGAGGAGACATAAGAGAGGTGGAACTGGCTAGGCCTGATTTTGAACAGAAGAGTTTGTATTCATTATCACCCCTTCTCCTAGGGGACAGATACATCAGAAGCAAAAAATGATAAGACTAGGACCTCAACAGCAATGAACCATACTCCTCCAAGACCAGGAGATGGGGATGGAAAGTAGGACAGCTTGATCAAGGAGACTCTCCCAAAACCTTATTTCTTAGCCTTCCTGTAGTGGGCCAGGTTTCCTCTGCCAGGAGACAGAGTCCTTGTCTTGAGCGTACCTCACATTTCCAGTCTTAACCCCAAAGTAACATGGCAGGAGGGCCGAGGTCTTGGGAAAGTCCCTTAGTCTCCCCTATTTGAGAAACCTATGATCTGTCATCACTTCTGTTTCCTTGTGGTTGACCTTGTGGGCCTAGCTCAGCACTTATTTCTCAGGGAACCTAGACAAGTCATACTTATTGGAGATTTCTTCATCGGAACCTCCTGGGATCCCCTGGCAGGAGAAACTGGATTTCTTTCATTTGAACATTGGTCACACCCCACCCAAGAAACTGGAACCTCCCTTTGCTCATCTAGATAAATGACCCAGGCTCTCTCAGAGCCATTATTGCCCTCAGAAGCTGATGGAACTGTGATTTGGTCCAGTGGACTTTCAATAAAGATACTTTCTTGCCAGGTAAAAGCCATAGCTGCAAAATCCCTCTGACCCTGGAACCTTCTGTGCTTTGGGGATGAGTTAAAAGGTAGAGCCATGCTAGGATGACTGGGATTTTTCCTATGTGGAACTTGCTGTCTCTCGTGGTGGAGTGGCTAGGATTTGGAAGAACTTCCCTGGTATGGACCCTTCCTTTTCCCTGGACAGAAACAGATACAATGAAGGGGGGGAGCCTTTGGCAGGAGGGGGCCCGGAATTTTTAAGGTCAAATATCATGCTGGCACTGGGACTCATAGGGAGATAAACATTCTTGGCTGGATCTCTGGGTGGAGGATAATTCTTCTTGTTCCTCCATCCCTCTGACTTCCATGAAGTTTTATCCAGGGTGGTGGCTTGGATCTTCTGACTAAAGGTTTGTGTCAGGTCAGGCATCTTAGCTCCCTGTCTAGAATAAGAAGTTGAGGAACCAGTATCCTAGGAAGGCCTTACAAATGTCAGTTGAGGTTTATCTCTTCTCTATTCCCACAGATTCTGAGACAACCTCACTATGAAGACCCCTGAAGGTGTTATTTATGGAGGTAATGTTGGGCTAGAGCTCCAGTGGCCCAAGTCACTTGCAGTCTTGTCTGTGTCCTCTGGATACCCTAGCATTCTCTGCTCCTCCCTGGGTATGGTCCTTAGTGCCTGGTGATGTCCACTGCCACTGGGTCATGGGCTTTCAGAGGGTGGGGACCTTTGCTCATTCACTGTTCTAGCTCTGTTTCCCGGGATTGTTTCAAGCACAGGGCAGGTCCAAAGGAGAATAGCTGGGCTTTGACACACATGTGCTGTGGGACTGCTCACTATCCTCTGTCTTGATGGTTTTCCCTCTTACATCATTTGTTGACCTTGGTAGCCTTTGTCTTCCTCAGCAGAGCCAATAGCTTTACTGAAAAGAAAGACTGTGCTGATGGGTTTTGGGGAATAAACCTCTGGTCTTCCATATTGAAGGGCCAAGATTAGATGATTTTTCTCTTGAGTGAAACAACCTTGGCCTTTATGTTTCTTCATTATTTGTTTCCATTCAAGCAGCAAGAAATACCCCACAGCTTGGAAAGATCTCCGATTTGGATCAGCAGGTGTGGATCCTTCGGGGTCAGTCCCTGGTGACAGTTCCACGGAGTAATAGTGTGGTGCCAGGTGAGTGCTCATGCTGTGGGTATTCCACACCTCACATTGGTAGTGGCCTTTTGTTAAAGCATGAGTACAATTGCTTGATTGCTCTTTATAGGGTGAGTATAGTTAACAGTAATGTATATTCCAGAATATCTAGAAGAGCATTTTTTTTGCTCTCACCTCAAAGAGATGATAAGTGTATGAGGTAATATCCTAATTCAATCATTATTACATTGTATACAAATATATCAAATCATCACATTGCACCCCATAAATGTCTATTATAATGTGTTCAAAAGCCTTAGATTTCAATGGGGGTATATCTGGAAGGGACAGAATTTCACAGCTGATTGGAAAGAGAAGTCACTGGATACATTAGTTGTAAACTAGGTAATAATCAGATATGGTAGAGGAGCCTCCTAGGAATTAGAAGAGTTGCATTCTGATCTGAAGAGGCTGATCCATCCTGCAGTACGAGATTAGCTTGTTGTATCTGACCTCAAGATATCCTAAAAAGATGAAAGAGTGAGTAACTCAGGAAGACAAATTTCAAATAGGCAGCATTTGCTAATGTACAGAGTTCTGCCAGGATTAGAGGTGCTGCTGGGAGTAGGAGCTTACCACTTCCAGGTATTCAAGCACAGGTGTGAAATATCAAGGGCAGATCTTGCCATTTGCTTAACTTTCTTTACTCCATTTACTAAAGCAGTGATTGCCCATAAGGGGTAGATGGATGAGTACATGGATGGATGTAGTTGTTGGCCATTTGGTGAGTCTGGGATAGAAAGAATTACACTCTTTTCATCTTACAGCCCCACCTGGAAGATACTACTTTGGAAAATCAGTTAGAAGTAGAACTAATCATTTTACTGACTTCAAAGGGAAACTGAATGCTTTTTTGCTTTTATCTCTGTAGTCACTGTCACTGTTCTTGCATGCAAATATCCAGAGACCCTTGAGAAAGACAAAGGAACTCCCATTTATCTAGGAGTCCAGGATCCAGATATGTGTTTGTGTTGTGAGGACGTCGAAGGACAACCCACACTGTTGCTGAAGGTCAGTGATGAAGAAAAAATAATATTTTAAAAATCCAACTTTTCTTTACCAGTTTGATATTTGGTAGAAGATATAACATTATCATTGAAAAAGAATATTATCATTTTCCTAAGCATATTTATTCCTAGATCCTATTGAGTACTATGTATCCAAGAGACTTTAAGTTATCCTGCCCTTCACTGGTTGACGACTCCTGTCTTCCTTATATTTTGAGATTTTTTCAGGCACCGTTTCTTCAATACGTTCTCTACATAATTCTGCCATGTCTTTCCTTTTGGAATTCTTATTCATCAGTCACTGGAACTCTTAGATTTCCCTTGAATCTCTCTTTCATCTAATTTGCCATACTTCCTACCCTCTCATTTTTTATTTTTTGTTTGTGCTGCATTCTAGAAAAATTTCTTGGTTCAATCTCCTACTTCATTATTATATTTTCAATTTTGTTGCCTAAATCACCCCGTAGCACTTTTTAGAAGTCAATTTTTACTCTTTTATTTCCTGAAATCTCTGGTTGATTTTATATAGACAAATATGTCTATATAAAGTATAAATATATACATGTATAACTACGTGTATATAATATATATATATGTTTGTTCTACCCCATTAACTTAACTTTAATTCACTTAATTTAACTCAATCCAATTCAATTTATCAAATGTGTGCATGCGTAAGTGGCTTCTAGCACCGTGCACATTCTTGAGATATATCCTGGCATAGATGGCAAAGAGCCCTAACCTCAGAGAGCTTGGATTCTAGTTGGAGACAAACAGCAGACAATGTACATATTAAACATATTAGTAGGTAAATCTGTGATGTGTTTAAAGGGTGTCTGTTTTTCTGAAAGGAATAGTTAGATGAAGATAAAGACACTGCAGTGCCAGAAGCAGAGGTCAATTCAGGCTGCAGTGATGAATAGCGCAGCAGGTTTCACAGTGACAGTGAAATCTTGGCAGAGAGAAGGAGGCAGGAAAATTAGTCAGCAGGGCATCCAGTGAGTGCAAGACCCAGGGTCAGGAAAGGTTGTTGTGTGGGAGTGAAAAGAGGAGGGAGGAATTCAGAGAGAAAGAGACAGACCAGGAAGGGGGTGTTGCCTTTGTAAGGACTTTGCCTTGTGATCTCAGTGAAATGATCTGAACAAAGACTGACATGAATAGGCTGGTCTAAAAAGGATCACACTGGCTCCAAGCTGATCATAGGGTGTCAGGGGAAAGGTAAAATTCCTTCAGTAGGCTTTCAAGTGGGCTAGGTGTGGTTTGAAGGGCCAGGTGATAGCAATGGAGGTAGAGAGAGGCAGATCTGATTTTAGAAATATTTTAAATGCAGGTAACAGGATTTGTTGGCACAAGTGAATGTGTTTAATAGGATGAGGACTGGGAATTACATGCTCAACTTTCTGCTGTGCTTTTGTCCTCTGGACTGAGACTGGTCCATTGTACTTGGCAATGTGTGGGCCATTGAGGACCTCAATGAGGACAGTGTCAGTACAGTAGTGAGGGTGAACGTCTGGAGTGAGTTTGAAGAGGGGAATCACAGGTGAGAAACAAGACAGCAAATACAGGCAACTACTGTGAAGAGTTTTCTACAAAGGAGAACTGGCAGCAATGCCATGTAATGTGCTACTTAACAAAGCTTTAGCCAATGATGAATCATATGTAGGATCGTTGTCTCCAAGATTCTATCATCTCGTGACATCGTAGCTGCCTTAGTTTGTGTAAGCACACTCTACAATGTTGACACAGTGGTGAAATTTCCCAATGATGCTTTTCTCAGAATGTATCCCTGTCATTAAGTCACACATGACTATGTTTTTAAAAGGATAGAAATGAAAGCAAATATGCTGATGGAATGACTGAGCAGAGAAATAAAAGTGATGGAGAATAAGAGAGGAGGGAGAACAGCTAAGGAGTGCCCTTAAGCTGGTGGCTGTAGATGGGATCCACCACTCAGCCCAACTCAGAGAAGGAGGCACCAGTGTTGGATGGTTTGTGGAAGTTTTCTTTCATGTGTCTACTTCCTCAGTGAGCAAGGAGTAGAAATAAAGCTGGTGGAGGAGACAGGGAGTTTGAAATGAGAAGATATTTATTGAACAATCAGCAGCTCTTTATTAAATGGAATGCCAGGGGCTCTTCTGCATGCTGAGAAATACAGTGATGTGTGATTCTGGCGATAATTATATAACTGAAAGGTAAACATGCTACATTTAGAGAGTGATGGTAAAATCTGACAGTAATTATATGATTGAGAGATAAGTACGCTCAGTTTAGATAGTGATGCAAAAATAACGCAGAACATCATAATGCAGATAATAACCCAGGATAGTGATGAGAGAGAGGTTGGATTTGAAATCTCTGGTGAGGATATTCAATGAAGTTCTCTCCAAGGAGGGGATGTCTGAGATGAGTCCCTGAGTAACAGGGTAGAGCCAACTTGGGCACTCGTGGGGCTGGAGTGTCCAGGTAGACCAAGTACCAGGACCCTGTGCAGGAGCATGCTGGTGTCTTGGGGGAGGGCAGAAGACAGATGTGGCAGGAGCAGAATCAGTATTTAGAGAGTGGTAAGAGGAAAGAGCATGAGATAGGAAAGATCTGGGTGGCGTTGACCCTGAAGGCTTTGTTAGAAGGTTTGGATTTCATAGTAATTACAACAGAATCATGGGAGAAGAAATCCTTCACTCAGGATGGAATGTGGCTGAATTATATAGACCATTCCTTTCTCTTTTGAGTTTTTATACATATGTGATTTACTTACAAAAACTTATTATACCTAAGTACACAATATTTACATATTCAAACCTACACACACATCGTCGTACCTTTATATATAAGGCACTTTTATTGCTTTATTTACTTTGTTCCTTTGAATGCAAATCCTTTGCTCTACTAGATCCTTTTAAGTCTATTTCATGATGTTTATCTTTCTCATATATTCTGCAATTGTTCAGAAACACAAACCCCCAACCTAGCTGTGCTTTGCTGGAACAGTTGCCCTTACAGGATGATGGCTGTCACTGTCCCTGCTTTTGTAAGGGAAGTCCTTGGCTTGCTTATGGAAATTTGCCTCTTAGGTTTTAGGGATTCCTTCAGTCCATTGTGTGAGAAGAGGACCAGCTCATTGTTCAAACATGGCTGCTTGGTCATTAACCTGTCCTTTTATCCTTCCAATGACCTGCTGTCCCTTGTATCCTTTCTATGACAAACCCTTTCATTGGAGGGTGGGGTTGCGAAGATGAGATTTTATGTGTTTGCTCTGATGCTCCTCTGAAATACATTTTTCTACTCCAGCTAATATGAATAAGTTTTTCCTGAACTTTGGAATGTCCATTGGATGTTCTCAAGTAACTTGAACATCTCAAAAATCTCCCATTTCTCCCGCAAGTATCCTCTCTCACATTTCAGGAAGAGAAGATTTTGGATCTGTACCACCAACCTGAGCCTGTGAAACCCTTCCTCTTCTACCGCTACCACTCTGGGACAACCTCCACCTTTGAGTCTGTGGCCTTTCCTGGCTGGTTCATTGCCTCTTCCAAGAAAGATGAGCCCATCTTCCTCACTGCAGACCGGGGGCAGTCATATAACATAAACTTCAATTTACATATAGAAGCTTGAACTCAGTTTGGAGATGGTAGTTTGGTCCTTAAGTTTTCAAAGTCCCAGGATGTTTTCATCTGTATGACCTCACTGCCATTTTCACACCAGCGCTGAGAGATGAGTAGGTTGCTGTCACCATTTTGTGTTCTGGATGAAGAAATAATGGCTTTGTGGCCACTGAAGGCAGGATGTGGACTCAGACCAGGGCTGGAGTGAGGTGTGGGTCTCCCCTCTAGCAGCCCACAGGACATCATGCATGAGAAATGGTGCCCTGTGCTGTGGTGAATAAACTATGGAAGGCCATGTGAATAGTGACACCTTTATTTTCAGGTGATTGGTCTTGTCCATAACTGGATTATACACACTCAGTATACTGAATATTCTTGCATTTGATTGATGTGAAATCCAGGCTGACATTTGCTGAAAATATGGTTCCTTTGGATCTTTAGATGCTGGGCACCACATAGGGCTAATTCTACTAGGACAGGGACTTTTGGATTCTGGGAGGAACTACTAGTTTTAGAATGACTGAAGTGGAATGTCTGCTTCTGGAAGCTGGACCTGAAGACACTACCTGTTAACCCGTGGATGACTGGGCATGGGGCTAGAGACACTGCTTTTCCCCTACCCTCAGAGATCAAAGAGCAAGGATTGTAGTTAAAAATATATGGCAATAAAATATTAACTTTTGTTGCTTAGATTTTTAAAAGAATCTTTAATATTCTTGACAAAATAGGGCATGCTTATGTTTAAAAGCACTCTTTCTTGTCTTAATCTTATTTTTTTCCATGAGACGGCTTCTCTGTTTTGGCCTTTTTTCCTCCCATTTTCCTCCATATGTGTCTAGGTATGAGGTTTTGCTTTCATTTCACAAATTACCAATCTTAGATATTGTTTTCTTCTACCAAATAGATGCCATTTGCATCTCCATTGAACAAAAGTTATACTGATGTTTGTCTGTTTTCTGAAAATTAATAATAGGCTCAGAGTCAAGCAAAAGGATTACCCATAGGAGGTAATTGTCTGGTAAACAGTGTTCTAAGATGATCTTTAACCTGCTTTACAGGATTTGGATACTTTTAATTAATGTCATCTCCTCTTTCCACCTTTTTGTTTTGTGTGAGAGGAAAGAGAGGTACTGAAGTGGACAAGACATTCTGAGGGTGGCACTAACATTTAATAGTAGAACTGGAAATAGTGGCACTCTTGATTTTTGGTCTTTAAATTTCTATCTGTTGGATGTCATGGAACACCGCATGAGAAATCAACAACACTCTCCTGAGCAAGACAGTCTAGCGAGTCACCACCATCTCACTTCCATCACTGGGGCTGACCTTATTTTGTGGGGAGTCAGCAGATGATCCACCCAGGGTGGAATACCTCTGGCCACCCAACCACCATTGTGTAATGACATCAGTGCTGAAATGCATTTATTGCATACAGTGATTCTCAAATTTGAAATATCAGAATCACCTGGGGTGTGCACTAAAATCCCAGGGACTCCACACCTAGTAAATTAAATCATCCTCTCTTAGAAATTGCAACCTGTTAGGTTTAGGATGGGGCTTAATAATCAATATTTTGCCAAGGATCCTAGAGAATACTGATGGATGAACCAAACATGGGAAATAAAAGAACTCAGATTAATTATACTTGGGGTGATCTGTGTGCTTCTACAGAAATAAGGGAATGTTGGGCCAGAGATATAGCTCAGTGGTACAGCATCTTGCTTGGCAAGCACGAGGTCCTGAGTTCAATTCCTGGTCCCCAAAAAATAGTTTAAAAAAAAGAAATAAGAGGATGTTAGTAAATGTATATACTTTTTGCTTATTATTGTTGGTTTGAGATTTACTTCTCTAAGGTATTTCTCTGTTGAATGATTTGTATAAAAAGTATTCAAGCCTTCAAATATAATTTCATAACATTCCAAGGTTAGAAAGAACTCAAGTTTCCATCAATTGGTGAATAGATACATTGTCATGTGTATTTGATACTATTAACTGATACAAAGAAATTAGCTACTGATAGAGATGAAACAAGATGAATATTAAATATTTCTGATCGATTGTGCATGCTTGTGTCTGGTGGTCTGAGCAACCGATTTGAAGGTAATGGAATATGCAATGGAATTACAATGGTGAACTCCTAAAAATAAAAAATATTAAAAATGTCATTGAGGATCCCAGACATAAAAGGTACATATTGTATGAGTGCATTTATAAGACGTTCAAGAATAGGCAAAAATAATCTTTGATGATAGGAATCAAAACAGTGGTTGCTTTGGCAAGGAAAGAACAAACATTTTTAAAAGCTACCATAGAGCTAAAATGGGTGGCATTCAAAGGATCAAAAACCCGCAATGGCTTTCCACTCTGTACAGCAGCATAATAAGCCAGAAATCATTGACATAACGCTTTCCACTTTGTGAAGTAAAAGGATTCCCACCGTAGAATCCATATCCAGACAATGTATTAATTATGAGTAAAATAAACCATTTTCAAAGGAGGAAAATTTATTTATTTACTTATTTGAAAAGTGACTATAGAATGTGCTCTGCCCAAACAAGATAGTAAGCTAAGAAAGACAGAAAATGTGGACTCCTTGAAGCAGAGAATCTTATCAGAAAAAAGCAATATGAACCTGAAGGATGGTGATAGACAGAGATCTTAGCAGGCAGCCAGGCAGAGTGAAGAAGCTGGAGGCCCCGAGGGACAAACAAGCCCAGGAGAAAGCATGTCTTATGTGTTTGAATGAACTGGGAGGAGACTCTGACAACAGGGAAAATCCAGGGGATAAGAAACTCCATAGAAAAAAATGAGGACTAATAAAACAAAGATTGCGGAGGACCACCAGTACGGCTCCCCCCGAACAAAGACAATTTGCCTCCACTGTGATTCATCTTTGCCTTACTTCCAAATGTACTGATATGTACAGATTTGGCTTGGAAAATGTTCTACCCCTTCAACTGGCTCTATGCAATGAAAATGGGTCTAGTTGAGGTGCTGATGTATAGCCTTTGAAACAATGGGACAGGTCAGTGATGCTCCATCTATGGCTTCCTATTACTAAGTGTGAGCTAGGCTGAGAGAGGCCATACGGTAAGCTGGTATTGAGCCCTGAGAAAGAGGTGGTGAGGTCCCAGAGCAGTAAAAGCTAGACATTAGAGCTGAAGGTTTTAAACCAGTACCTTTATAACCATGGATATTCTAACATACATCTTCCCTCTATCCACCCTGGAGGCACCTATGTCCACAGACATGTGCCTATAGAGAGATTGGGTACTGATTGGGGCTGGTTATTTTATCCCAGCTCTTGTTTTTAAATCAGTAGTGAGCAAATCAGTATCTCTTAACACAATAGTGTGATTAGAGCTTAGTGTAGGATATTGGATGGCATCACTGTATTTATCCTAAGTATTGTTTTCTGTTCCCGGAAAATCTTGCTGAGTTGTCTTATAGTAAATATCAGCCAGATGTGCTCATCTCAAATCTGGAAATACATACCTACAAGTTTGTGGTTATCATTTTTATCTCAGGAGTTTCAGGAGCCTGGGATAATCAGGATCTGTGTACTACCACATTTGATTATTAGTTCTGGTAAGAGAAAAATTTTCTGATGGCCCTTTTTATGAAGGGTTTCATTTATAGGACCTTGAGAGAAATTAGATCTGATAGCAGGACTCAAATATTTGGCTGTACTTTGTTGTTGCTGTATAAACTTTTGAAGCTTCACCCAGCCATTTACATGTCAAGGAGATACCCACTATGCTAACCCAGATGCACTAGAAATAGGCAACACTCCATAAATCCACAATGTGTCTTCAGCACATTGTTGGGGTCATTCATGGAAAACAGTTCCTCCACTGGAGAATGCTGTAAGGGTTAGGAGAAAAATGAATTGACCAATTCTGATTTGAGAAGACACAGTATGGTTATGAGAGGAGATACATTTAAGTAAAATAAATTTATCTAATTTATCCACAATATGACTATTTTTCTTCATAAATAGCATTTGCAAGTCCTCTAAAAGCTTGCAAGAATATTGTTCACAGGTTTCTTTCTCCTTAGTTTCTTAATCCTGTAAAGTATCAAAAGAAACAGATTTAATTCTTGATATGTGAATCCAGGATGTGTGTCCTTGTAGCTTAACAACTGTGGGGATCCTTAGAACTTGGTAGAAGCCCTTGCATTTAGGGAGGAGCTGATCTAAAGATCACCCCCTTTCCAAAAGCTACACCACCTAATCACTGAGTTGAATATTACAGATGTGGGTTACAGGGTCTGGTGCTGGAAGGACTTTAGTACCATATTCTAGTGAAGCCTTTTATACTTGTCCTAGATTAATTAAGTGTTTAATCATCTCCTATGTTTTAGGGTCTGTGACTAGATCTTAGTTCAGAAACACCTTCCATAGAGTGATTCTTATGGGCTTAGTTGGAGAGAAGCTTCAGGGGAAAATTCGACCCTTAGCAAAACGTAATCGTCAAAGTCAAGACTTAATTTTCTTCAAATAATTTTGCCAAGGTGACATTAATGTGTAAATTAGCCTTTTTAATCTTTCTTCAAGCGTGAAAGTCCCAAAAGATTGAAGATAAAAAGTTATTCCCAAAGTTTGTGAGAACTCCTATGCCTCTTTGGAAGCAAGGGAAAGCCCATTATCATTCTAAAGTGACTCGGAAGGTCCAAAGCCAGGAATTGTTTCTTTTAATAAGGCTTTAGTGACTTCTTGGGCTTTTTTAATCTGGACAGCATATGCTTCTATTCAACCAGAGAAGGTATCATACAAAAGTAAGAGGAATTTGTATCCCAGGCATGGGGGCATCTGGGTGAATTCTAGTTGCCAGTCTTCACCAAGGAAGCTATCGTGCCAGGGTTTTGCAAAGGTGGAGGCTTAGCTTTTCCTCCTTCAGCAGCAAAAAGGACAAGAATTTCTGACTTCTGGGATAGTGGATTCAGGCTTTTACCCCCTAAAACATGGTTGACCAAGGTTGTCAGTACTTCCCTTTCTAAATGGCATAAATTATGGATATTTTTCATAATACTTTATTGATCAACCTGAGGTAGTGCAACTTCATGATATTTCTCTTTAATCCACCAGCTGCCCTCTAGCTTATAGCTTTCTGCCTTGCCCTTTCCCTTCCTCTTATGTTTGGTGTCAGGAGTATCAAAACCAACAGTCTTCTGTGCCACCTGTTTGGCTCTGTGAGCTGTGATCTTCCAAGGCATTTCCCTGGATTACGGGAGAACTGCACTTTTCATGTTCTCTGCTGTGTGCTACTGATTCCTGGTTAGGTAATGGCATAGCTTCTAGGAGGGAACCACTCTCAGGCCTGTGCTTCACTGAGGAATCTTTTTTTTGCTGAGACTCTCCATTTTTCTTATGCAGTTGCATGCATGTGAAGGAGTACGAAAGCATATCTGAAGTCAGTATAGATGTTGACTAGGTTTTCCTCTCACACTTGTAAAGCTCAGGTGAGGGCAATGATTTCAGCTTTTATGCTGAGGTGCTTGAAAGAAATACCATCACCTCAACAGCCTCTTGAAGACTAACATTGCATAACCTGGCCTATGAGTGCCACTGTTTATGGAACTGCTTTCATTAATGAACCATTCCACACCAGGCTTAACCAGTCTTGTTCTTGAGATCAGTCCTACCAGAGTAAATGTGTTCTATAGTTTCAGCACAGAAGTGAGAAGATTGTCTCCTCCTGGGATGGGAAGCAAGGTTGCTGGATTTAAAGTTTGGCAGGCCTTGATGGTAAGTTTTGGAGATTTTAACAGGAGGGTTTGATATTTAGATAGCTGTACTCCAGTTAGCCATTGGTGTCCTTTAACTTCAAGAATGCTTTGGACCTGATTGGGGGTTTGGGCTTCTACCGGATGTTCTAACTTTAATTTAGCAGTCTCAATAGTCAAGGGTGCTGTGGCAGTCACAACATGTACACATCCTGGCCAACCAAGGGACAAAGAATCTAATCATTTAGAAAAGTAAGCCAAGTTTAAAGAATAGCTCCCAGTCTTTTAGTAAAGACCCCAATGCTATGTCCTGTTTTTCAGCTATATTGAGAGTAAAAGGATTATCTAAGTCAGGAATTCCTAGAGCTGAAGCTAGCAGCTTTTGAAAATCCTTACTCTTTTATATTCTTACACAGTAGATATTGGGAAAGGGAAAGATTTTGCTCAAAAGAGAAAACAATTGGGATTAGGTAAAGGAGCAAAGGAAAGAAAGAAGGGGAAAATATATATTTATAGAAAGATAGCTGGGATAACTGTACTGATGATGTCTAACGGTTTATTGAAAGGAACAGTTAATGCTTTATTTATTTATCTATTTCTTTGACCAATTCTGCGTGCTTATATCTGGCAATTTGAACAACTAATTTGAAGACAACAGTATACAAGTAACAACCATTGTTGAATTCCTATCATCTTGTTTGGTAAAACTCTGTATCATTTATAATTTTTTTGTTTTAATTTTTATTCTCTTTAACAGTTTGATTAATCTTGCATTCTTACATCTAGTAATCTGACCAACTTCTATGAAGATAAAAATATGTAATATAACAACCACTGTTAATCCCTAGCATTTTGTTCTGAAACCTTGTATCATTCTCATTGTTTTTGCTTTGTTTTGTTTTTGCCTATGTTGTTGGCATTTTCTATTGTTCTTTTTTTTAAAATTCTCTTTAAAATAAAAAGAAAAGAAAGTCCTCTTGCTATCTTCTTGTCCAATCTAGGAGTTCATAGTCAAGCCCTTATGTAACCTGAAAGAGCAACTTAGCTATGAGTCCTAAACTGGGGGTCCAAATTCTGCAAATTCCAAGATACTTAGGGAGGCCTTGTGTTGCCTTTTAGTTTGAGGTAGCCTTTGTTTTAAAAGGATGTCCTTTCAAAGGTGGCAGTTCCTTCCCTGGAGTTAAAAAATGTACTTTACTTTTTGGTGAGATACCTGAGCCTTTTGAAAGAGTGCTCAGTATCCTGCAACCCTTGGAAAATTACAAAGCCTAACAGCATTTTCATCAGAGTATAGTTTTTTAAGGCTAGAGATAAGATCATCTACATATTGAAGTAGTGCTCTATTTTAAAATTTATAAACCCCTTTGCCAAAACATTTCTAAATGGGGTTTGTGTGTGTCTTTCTGAACCCTTCAGATAGTATAGTCCACTACATTGGGCAGTTCCTATAGTATCAGGATCATTCAAAAGCAAACAGATCTTGTGAGACAAGGTATAACGGCATACAGAAGAAAGCACCTTTAAGATCTAAAACAGTAAACCATGTAATTCCACTTGGAATTTGGGTTAAAATAGTGTAACCTTTAGGAACTGTAGATAGAATGAAATTATGGCTTCATTAATGGCCCACAAGCCTTGGATTTCCCCATATTTCCCATTAGGATAGAAGCATGGGAGGGTTGCATGGAGACTGTCAATGTACCAAAAGGCCATGTTTGAGAAATTTAGAAATGGGAGCCTGAAGTCTGTGGTAGGCCTCTTGTTTAGTGG